TCACAAAACAAGAAACATGTATATATAATGACACAAATATTGTTAATGGAAATGAGAGTTTTGTATTTTTGGTTTTTAAAGAATAAAAATTTATATATATAAAAAAGAGAATGCTTGAAAAAGGCAAAAGCACTAGTGAGAATAAAAGGCCTTGTGAGAGTATTTTTCTTCTCTGCATTCTTTCTAAAGTCTCAGCATCTTGCAGCTGGAGATCCAAATCTTCATTCTGTCCAAGTCTCTTGGATGACTTTGGATTGGTACAGAATGCTACAGTATAGAAAGTTCCCCTTGCCCCCTCTCTCTTTTGCTAGGCCCACTCAAGCAAAGTGCTGCACTTTTTTGATTCATTTGCAGGTGAAGGGCTAAGAAAAGATCAGACTGTGTTTTAACTAATCTGCCTCCCAATTAGAAACAGAAGAACTGCAGCCAGTCAACATTCACAATTCTAGGTAGATAAATAATAGACATCTGATAATCTGATTTGGTGTAATGCCTCTCTTTATGTTCCTACCTTAGTTCCCTGTATCATATATTTGCACCTACAATAGCCTAATGCCCCCTTACTTGTGCTGTATGGAAATGCACAAACACATGCAAACAAAAGCCTGGAGCCCATTATGGTGTAATAGCTTCTAGAGTGAGAGGCTTAGACAAGGTTCAATCTAATTAGATCCTCAGAAGAATAGTCCCGATGTTCTAATGCAGAGAGAAAATCAAATTATTCTTCCTTTGCAGAAGGTAGAAAGTAAAGGTGAGTGATGAAGCTTTAATAAGCAAAAATGGTTTTGTACCAGGATTATATTAAAAGCTGTTGAGGTGGGGTAGGAGTGGGGAGTCTTTTCAAATAATTTTTTGAAGGAGGGCAAATTAGCATGTTAGTCAGTAGGAAATATTTGATACTGGCTTATTAGCCTTACAACATTTTCCTCTGGAAATTTGTTATTTTATGGTGCAGTTAGTACCTGGAGAAATAATGGAGAATATAAAAAGGCTGATAGCCAGTGGTAGGATTCAAATATTTTTCTACTGGTTTGGTGAGCGTGGCTTGGTGGGTGTGCTTTGCACACGTGCACCAAATGCACACTTTGTGCAGGCGCAGAGGCGTTCTAACTCACCTCCTACAAGCCTGCACAATCCTGGTCGCTTCAGCAGCTGCCGCGCAGCACTCTTCTGTGCTGTGCAAAGTAGCTGCGCTTCAAATTCAGCAGATAAAGGTGAGTATGGGAGCCCAGGTGGGTGGGTGGGCCCAACCGCAGAGCGGTGGAAAGAACTGGTTCGGTCTCCGCTGCTCATCGCTGCTACCAGCTCTCCAGAACTGGGCCGAACCGGTCGAATGCCACCACTGCTGATAGTAGATAGCCTAAGATAGCATCTTCTTCTATATTACAGCTATCTATAATAAAAGGGGAAGGACGACAGATGCCTGACTCTGGAAATAAAGGAACACTGAACAGAAATAAAACCAATAACTCTGTGTTGCCCTTCCATTTTACTTAAAATCCACTCCTTAAAATAGTCACCTTGGTTTCCAGAAGGAAAGTATTGTACTGTCTGGGAGATTCTTCTGTCCTCAGATAAAGATGTTTTGTGAGTAATATTATGACATGATGAAACCAGTAAGTTGCCATGTCACCATGAAGGAACACGCTGGGCAAAAAGTAAGTGCTTTCTAGGGCAGGATAATGTTAGCTCTTATTGTGCAAGCTGATTGAGAACATTTATAGATCTTTTTCACATTAGACTTCAGAGGCAGTATTTGTAATAATAATAAAAAAAACCACAACCCAGTAGCTAAAATCAGCTTAGCATTGAAAACCACTGATGGAATAAATTGTAGTTTTTTTCTTTCTTTTAAAGGCTAATCAATGTACAGGCAGGGAAAAGAGTTTTTATCTGGCTATAAAGATGAGAGATGCTTTAATAAATGACTTCCTGTTTGCGTATTGATGGAAAGTAAGTGCATGGTTTATTGAAGGATATTAAAACAGGATGAGTAGTTCATTCTCAGGAAAGTGCTGTTGATGGGCAATCAATCATGAAATAAATAAATGTTTCAGGACGTATTACAGTTTGTGCACTAGAAATTGTGTGTCATCATTTGTACTGTAGCTCTGCAATAGGTGAGAGGATTTGCCAATATGTCAAATGTGGTTGAACACAGCACCCTTACTGCATGAGGCAATGGGGAAGGGTTCCACAAGCTACAATTCAGCAAAATCTGAAAAGTTACAGTTTTATATATGTTTTAGGCAGATTTGTCTGTGCATAAATCCCATTGAAAACAGGACTTGCTTCCGAGTAGATATATTACTCATTGATGGTTGGGTAGATTAATGAATCTAATTAAAATGTGCAGGTGTGAATATGAAGAAATGATGCTTTTGAAAAGTCATTCTTTTTCATTTGTTTTAAGTAATACAGTATGCATGACAGAAAAAGTTTTCCCTCCCACATGAGCTCACTTTGCTATGTGTAATTTTTTGTAAAAATTTGCTTTTTTAAAAAAAAAATAGTTTCATTGTGACTTATTTTCTAGAATTTAAATTAAAAGCTTTTTGTCAATTCACAAGGTATTTTAAATCAGTTGATCTGGCTTTCTTCATTGTTGTAAATCTCATTTTTAATTAAATATTTTTAGTAATAAAAGGAGAAAGGGCAGGGGTGGGTTTCTACCGGTTCGCACCGGTTCTATAGAACCGGTTGTTAATGTCACCGGTAGTTCTAAGAACTGGTAAAACCGACCCCTGCTTGGCCCCGCCTCTCTCCGCCGCTCCTACAGGCCAAAAACTGGTTTTGATTACTGCACATGCATGAAAATCCCTTCCTCATTCTCCTCTGCCCGCCCCTCCCTTCGCTGCCCCAGCCCCCGCCCCTATCCGCCGCTCCAAAGTAAAAAAAACAAACTGTTTTTTTTTAAAAAACAGGTTGTTTTTTACTGCGCACGTGTGAAAATCCCTTCTGCATTCTCCCCCACCTGCCCCTCCCTTCGCTGCCCCGGCCCCAGCCCCCACCCCTATCCGCTGCTCCAAAGTTAAAAAAACCCGGTTTTTAAAAAATGCATGCACAAAAATCCCTTTTTCATTCTCTCCCGCCCTCCCCACCCCGCCCCTACTTATAGCGCATGTGCTCTAATTACAAACATTTACCTGCATGGCACCATCGCTCACACCACCAGCAGCAGCAGCCGAGCCAGCCGGCCGGCCAACCAGCCAGCTGTCCGTCCTTGCCTGCTGAGTCAGGGCAAGCCGCAAGCCCTGGTTGCCACCATAGCACCATCCTCGCCTGGCTGGCCTGCCTTGCCCTGCCTGCCTCCCACCACTGCCACTAGCCGGCCTCGCCCACCCGGACTGCCTACACTGCCGCCGGTCTCCGAAGACATGTATCGGTAACTACGATCCTACAACCCGGTCGCCTACCTACTGCTGCCAGTCCCGGTCGCCTGCCCCCATCTTCCCTTGCCCATGGCCCTCCATTGTTGCTGCCTTGCCTTCCCACCATCGATTGGTAGTGAGGAGGCAAAGCAGCAACTCCTGCTGCTGGCCTGGTCCCCTACCTCCTCCTGCCACCGCCCCCAGCCCGGTTGAGAGTGTATTCCTGGGCTGGGCGCCACTGCCTTGCCCACATGATGGCCGCCATCTTGGCTAGGCCGCCGGCCTGCCACCTTCCCTCACCCGCCGCGGCCCAAGCGCTGCTGCTTTGCCTTCCCAGCACGGATTGATACTGAGGAGGCAAGTCCTACTGGGCCAGTCCCCTACCTCCTCCTGCCACCTCCGCCGCCAGCCCAGTCGAGAGCCAACTCCTGGGTCAGCCGGCCTCGCCACAGCAAGCTAGAAGACTGAAGAGGACCCCGGCATAGTTGGCTAGCCAACTTGCATGTTTCCTTTTTGGTAAGTTGCTTTTTTATATTTATGTATGTATTTATTTATTTTTTTACTATCTGTTTGTGTTTTTATTAATCATAAAAACAAAACAGATACTAAAGAAAGAAATAAACACATAAATAAAAAAACATTTTACTATTCATCTTGATGTTTCTTCTTTGCTTAAAGAAACATCAAGATGAATAGTAAAATAATTTTTATTTATATGTTTATTTATTTCTTTAGTATCTGTTTTGTTTTTATGATTAATAAAAACAAAAACAGATAGTAAATAAATAAATAAATACATAAATAAAAAAAGCAACTTACCAAAAAGGAGACAGGCAACTTCTTGTTACATTGATGTTATACATTATCTGTTTCTGCTTAAATCAATATATAGCAACATCAATATAACAAGAAGTTGCATGCTTACATAAATGAATATTTTTAAATAAAAGTGTTTTATTTTTTTAAACATAAACAAAAACATAAAACATAAACCATCTTCAGTTATATAGTGTGTTGGTTGGTACAAATCACTTGTGCATAATCTCTGCAGTCTTTCCTTTCCAATTTGCATAAATCCTTATATCATGCTAAGCAATTGGCCACTAAGCAAGCACCTGGCCATTAAGTGAGGACCACTTAAATTTGGGTTGCCAGCCACATGGCCACCTGCCTGGGCCTTGCCAGGGTGCCCCCAGGCCTTGGAAACTGGCAAAAAGCACTTGCTAAGCAATTGGCCACTAAGTGAGCACATGGTCATTAAGTAAGTACCACTTTGGGTTGCCAGCCACATGGCCACACCCACCCCAGTCACATGACCATGTAGCCATGCCCACCCCAGTCACATGACCACGTAGCCACGCCCAATCAGCAAGCCACTTCCACCCCAGTCACATGACCACAAAGCCCCACCCACAAATTAGGCCACGCCCACAGAACCATTTGTTAAGAAATTTGAATCCCACCCCTGGGAAAAGGAGACCAAACAAGAGGGAGCACAATCTGAAACTGGATGGGAGACAGAGGAAAAGAGTTGGAATAGCCACTCCCTAGAACAAGGGTCCCTAAACCCCAGGCCATAGCCCTCTATTAGATTCTGGCCTATTCGGAATTGGGCCATGCAAGTGACTGGCTGGAACACGCGCAGCTCAACTTGCCTGAGTGGTGGGCTGTGGACACTTGTGCACTGGCCGCCAGGTCACCACTCACAGAAGTCAAGCTGCATGCTTAAGCACCCACCTGCCACTTGTGCAAGGGCTACATGTGTATGCGTATACACCAGTTCACCACTTGCTCGGTCCAGTACCACTCTCTCTCTCCCCTGCCAGGATGTCAAGCCATGAAGGTTGGGGACCACTGCCTTAGAATCTCTCAGGGTATATCCATTAGGATGGGAATAGTAAGGGCTTAGTCTGGCAAGATTCTGTAAGTAAATAAAGAACTGAACTCTGAGGGAATTGCTCCTCATTATCCTTGGGTTTAACCGGACATCTGACCATTAGCCATTCCTGGTTTGGGGTAACTGGATTTGTAATTCAAAATATCTAAAGCACAGAACAATAATCTATTCATACATGTACACATCTGCCCTTTACTATATGAAAACTATATAAACACCTTTGTGAAGTCATAAGCAGTTGAACTCAACTCAAAACAGACTTTGCCTTACTTACTTGCTGCAGGAACTGAATCTATATCTAAAGCATAACACTGACTGCAACACAATTATTGGCAGGGATTATCCTCTTCTTGAAGGTGAACATTTCCTTCAACTCACTTCGGAAGCGATCATGCAACCAGGCATAAAGGAAAGGGTTATAGCAGGAAGAGCTCATGGCAAACCAGTGGCAGAGCAACTGCAACAGAAGGAAGTATTCTTTGTTAATGAGGTTGATGTTGATATCGCGGATAATGTTGAAGACATGAATGGGGAGCCAGCAGACAGCGAAAGCAGCCACCACCAACACCAGGAGGCGGAAGATCTTCCTTCTTCTCAGGCGGTCAAACTCTGCCTGGTTTTGTGTTGGATGACCCGGAACGACACGGTTCTTCAGCTTGATGGTGATGCAGATGTAGGAGAGAGAGACAGCTGAAAGAGGCAGGATGTAGGTGATGATCAGGGTGCTGTAAGCATAGGCCAGGTGTTCCCTCACTTCTCCTATCCAGAACTCCTCGCAAATGGTAAAGCCTTCCTTCTGGAACTCCACATGGTAAGTGTGGGCAACAGCTGGAGCTACCAGGGCACATGAGAGCAGCCAAATCCCACCAACGATGTACACACAAGTTGTAAACGAGATACGCTTCTTCAGGAGATGCAGAGTGGTGTAATATCTGGAAGAGCAGAATAACAGAATAACAGAGTTGGAAGGGAGCCTGTAGGTCTTCTAATCCAACCCTTTGCTTAAGCAAGAAACCCTATACCAGAGGTCTCCAACCTTGGCAACTTTAAGACTTGTGGACTTCAACTCCCAGAATTCTCCAGCCAGCATAGCTGGCTGG